TCAATTGGCTACTAGTACTATGACTACTGCTTTTCTTGTTTCTTACCAAAAAATATAGCATAACTAAAAATATGCAACGCCACCATTTTGAAATGAGCCTCTTTGCTAACGATATTATTAGCTAATACTCATTACTCTTTGTTCGCACTATATTGATATTAATCACAATTACATCTATAGTAACAGATAGTCACACACTGCGCATAATAATGTGGTTTCAGAATTAACACAGTAACAAATTATATTAAATTACATTTAGAATGTAGTAGAGTAATGTTTTACCTCGTGCATCTATATACGTAACTTAGTTGAGTTTGCAGTGTTCGCGAGTTAACACTTTAATTAACTTAATTAAAATCGTGTTTCCTCTAATATTGTGTCCAGTGTTTTTCTCCGTTCTGACCTCGGTGGTTCCTCACTCGCGCGCTTCTGTCTGTAGTTAATGCAGAGGGCGCCACCCTGCAAGACGCCACTCACGATACATGAGATTCCAGAAAGGATAAAGACGGGTCTCAGGTCGCCAGTGTAGCGGTCCATGAGAAAACCTGCGGCAAAATCCATGTTCACGTTACTCTATTTCCAAGAGTCTATTTTAAAATTATAAATTCAATAGGAGTCAAATTTCTAAGAGATAATATCATCCTATCACCTATTAAGAGTCTATTACAAAGATCTATCACTCGTCATGCTCCTGAAGCCTTAGATTAGCCTATCAATAGGTTATATCGCGTTTACTACAGCTATATGTGTTTACCGGCTGCCACTGGTCCAGTCAAAATGCCTATGCCGCCAAATAGTGCGAAGATAGATGAAGCCCCGCAGTACCAGCTCATCGTCGTGCGCGGCGTCATGACGACGGAGGAGGAGTACGAGGCGGCTAAGCAAGGTGGGAATCTCGTGCGCATTCCCTAGCAGCAGCCACCGCCCACTGCCGTGACGCCCCGACTCAACCTTACCTCGCGGGGGACTCCGAGGGACTGTATATATACCGAAGACAGAGCGAGCGAGAGTCGATCATATCGATACATTGGCAGTGTATATATACTAAAAACTGTAAGAGTGAGTCGATCATATCGATTCATCGGCCCTGTATACGGACGACGGAGAAAGTGAGAGTCGTTCATATCGATACATCGGCAGTGTATATATTTAAAAAAACAGTAAGAGTGAGTCAATCATATCGATACATCAGCAGTGTATACGGAAGACAGAGAGAGTGGGAGTCGATCATATCGATAGATCGGTACAGCGGATTGTAGTGAAAAAAGTTAAAACGATTTTACGATCAACCAGGGTAGGTTTACGCACGGGAGACGGGAATTTTTAAATGGGACTTTTTCGACCGGATGTGTTATTTCCTTGGACGCTTTCAATCGATTGGTGCTACACATCTGCTTGAATGCTATCGACCTATGTTATTCATAGGATGATAGGGTGTATTATATCATTAATTATTTTCTGATACATTTATTCATGATTGCATTATATATTTAATTTTCAATTGCTTTTATATATATAGGTCTAAACAATGTTTAAATAAATTTTAATATCACAATCATATCATTTTATTGTTATCGATATTTGTCCAGGGTTCGAAAATTAGGCATGGAATTGTGTTATTGTGACTATAAGTTTATAACGACCTCAAATTCCCCTCACTACAACATCTTAGCGATCGTTCTTTTTCGCTGTGAATCCATGATTTTCCACCCACTCTAAATTCTAATGAATGTCAGAGTATATTATAACAATATAGGACTCTATAAATGCTCTCTATAACTTACATGTAATGTGCGCAGAGAGCTCGTTTACATACAGTGATACACTGCTCGCTTGTGTTTTTAAATTTTGACCTTGAATTTATAAACTGTTATGTGTCACTGGGTGTGTGAATTTTTCTAGCATCTTGCCTTAAAAACTTAAAAAGTTAGTCGTGACCCACGATCGAATCTCTTCAGCAACCGATCTAATCCAAACAGTTGGAGTAGAAGAAGTTTAATTTTACTGCAAACATATCTATTATGGTCTCCTGTATGCCTGGTGAAAAGTCTAGGTTTTGAAATCTAGAAGAAGTGAGGCATCTATGATTTATTTACAATTGCAATTTTCATCACTACTATGTGGATATAAATTTATTTGAATACACACACGCACACACACATAAGCCTCGTCTACACGACGAACCTTAACTCGAGTTAAGCTAACTCGAGTTAAGCGTTAACTCGAGTTAGCCATTATGTAGAGTCTACACGACAACACCCGATAGCGATTATTACCGATTTATTATGCATGCGTGAGTGCGTATGTATGTAAACGTGCGTGCGTGTGTGCGTGCGTGTGCACGTATACGTGCGTTCGTGCGTGCGTGTGCACGTACACGTGCGTGCATGCGTGAGTGCGTACATGTGCGTGCGTGCATGTGCACGTACACGTGCGTGCGTGCGTAGGTACACGTTCGTGCGTGCGTGCGTGCGTGTGCACGTACACGTGCGTGCATGTGTGTGCACGTACACGTGCGTGCGTGCGTGTGTGTGCAGGTACACGTGCGTGCGTGCATGCATGTGCACGTACACGTGCGTGTGCATGTACACGTGCGTGCATGAGTGTGTGCGTGCGTGTGCAAGTACACGTGCGTGCGTGCGCGCGTGTGCAGGTACACGTTCGTTCGTGCGTGCGTGTGCATGTGCACGTAGGCGTGCGTGCGTGCGTGTGCACGTACACGTGCGTGCGGGTGTGTGTGCACGTGCGTGCATGAGTGTGTGCGTGCGTGTGCAAGTGTGCGTGCGTGCGTGTGCGCGTGTGCAGGTACACGTTCGTGCGTGCGCGCGTGTGCATGTGCACGTAGGCGTGCGTGCGTGCGTGCGTGCGTGCGTGCGTGCG